TGAATTAGCCCTGAAAAAAACTTTGTAAGGTGGTTTTCAGTGGGAAAGCTAGTGTTTCTAATGTTTGCTGCTGGGATCAGTGGCCGACCTGATTCTGGTCAATGTTTGCCAGTGAATTTTAAAGTACTGCTAAGAGAATTTTTGCCAAGACCTATAAAACTCTAAAGCAGTACAGCAAGACTTCAGAGGTCTAAACTGTATGTCAGTTTTTTGCATTTAATTTTTCTTTTTTTTCCTGACTGGATTGAGATTCATTGGTTCAAATGTAGGCATGTAAAGAAGAGAAATCTCTTTCTGCGCTAGTTTCCCTGACTGCTGACTGAGCAATGGAAAAATCCAAACGGCATTTGCAGAGGGCAGTTCATCCTTACTGTGAGGCAGATACCTTTAAAAGTAAGGTCCAACATTTATAATAAGAGGGCTTGAATTACACCCGGGGGGAACTGGCTCTTCCCATTAGTGCATCTGAAGATTTCTCTTTATTCTTCACTACCAGGATGAAGTTGCATGGCAGTTGTCCCATACTATCATTTTGCGTACTTTAACACAGTATATATTCAAATACTTGGGGTAAGAGAAACTCTAGATGGTCTTGAAATAAAAAGTGCTAGGGCAATAAGTATGAAACTTTAGTTAAATAAAATATCAAAGTTTTCATTTTTGAAAGCTGCTCAAGTGTCATTATGCTGTTTCTATTTTGAAATGTTGATTTAGTTCCTGTGAACTTTGACTAATCAGAAAGAAAAAAATAATCTTAATTTATCACTGACAGTGAAAGTGTGATAAGGAAAAAATTACCAGTTTCTCTGTTTTCCAGTACCTTTTTGGAAAGGGAGCAGATAAGGAATTGACAGCCATGCTTCTTCACGTGTGGTTCGAGTCAGTATCAGCTGCGGCTGAACTGGAGACCAGCACTCTAACCCCAGCACAGCTTGGGCAAGGACCCAGTGCCCAGGGCTGAGCTGAAATGGGGCTCCTAGGCTGTGGGTGGGTGGGGTGGAGGTACCCATGATGCCGGTCAGGGTCATTAAGACCCTTAAGTGTCCTCAGGGCCTTGACAATGTCTGAGAACGCTGCCTGGTGTCCTGGGCACAGCTATGACAGCACGGAGCGCTCAGTACTGTGCTGCCTACTGTGGCAGCGGCACTGCCACGCACTATGCATTTCTCACTTATGTAGGGACATTAAACTTCAGCCACAAGCTAGGTTCGGATTCTCTGTATGGAGTAGGTTATGCTTGAAAGCAGTATGAATTAATTGCTACCTGGTGCAGGAAGTAGGAATTAGTTTGTTGATGTCGTGGGAACTTGCAAGGCTCTTCTCTGAGGCCTTTGAACCCCTTGGAGCGAGTTGGGGATGGTGTTGGTGGTTGTAGAGATAACTAGTCCTGTGGGGAGAAGAAGGAGTAGCTTCTGCAGTAGGAGCTTTGATTCCCCAGGTATAGATTTCAGCCCTTAGCACAGCGTTACAGGCAAAACCAAAAGTTTAGTTTAAAACTAGGTTTTACTCTTATGGTTCAGACAACAGATGGAAAATGCAGGTTATGTTTCTCCTTGGAGCTGGAAATATGAGAACAGATCCTTTCGTCTAAGCTTCTTACAACTGAGGAGGGACTGCTGAAATATCCTTCTTGTGATGTTAGGAACATTTCAGTTAACGTGTTTTATTTCCGCAGTGCCAATATGCTTTGTTGTACTCTGGTAATGCCAAAATCCCATCTACCAGAGCACCTGTCCAAACATCAAAACCTCCTGCTTTTTTACTGCTTTGACACTCTGCAGTGCAGCAGCATGTGCTCAGCATGCATTATTTAGGAACCTGCTATGCAAAATAAGTCAGAAAGCCAGAGCCACTGCCTTGCCTGTAGTATCCTTTTTAAAAAATAAATTTAATTAAAACGTTGAGTTTTTCATTCTACTGAAGTTGCTAGAACAAAGAACAGAGGCTCTACTAAAGCTTAAGTCCATTTTGTCTCCTTCATTTGAGAATGATACTATTCAAATGTATTTTGATGTATTATTTGTGTTTATCCATTAGAAACAAAATATGTCTACATCTGCTGTATAATGATTTATTTCAAAACTCAACATAAGGAGACAGTGGGTCTCTTGTCTGTGCTTCATTCATGCTGGTTATAGGTCAATGTTTAAAATGTTATTTCCACTTATGAGCTAATGATGAAAAGGCCAGCAGCTCACCGTGTGTGGTAGGGTAGACTGTAAGACGTCAGCAGTATTTCTGTCTTCTGATAGGTGCTTCCTGTAGCATGTTCCTTGACAAAATGAGGGAAGTATCATGACTGTTCTCTACCTGTCTTTTTCAGAAGACACTCTCTCACTGTACTTACACATGCCACAAGTGATATGTCCAGGGAGGAATTAAACTGGAAGTGATACCATTATGTAGGTCCCCCGGGTACCCTGTTAACTGCATCTTTTAATTTTGCTGGTGTTGAAGTCAGGGTGGCGTGCAGCTACAGTGCAGATGGAGTGAGGAGACATACTCACCTTGTCACACAGCATGAACTGATCATCCTTCAGCACTCATGCTCCTCTTCCTCACATCCTGCCCTAAGTACCCTTTTGCAGTAGGCTGTGAGGCAGCCTCTCATGTTAGGAGTGACTCTGACACTGTGCCTGAGGAGCAGAGGGGCTGACATGATGTGCTCAAAAAACTCCTATCCACATGGGTGCTTGGAGCTGGTAAACCAGGCCATTACCTTCAAGGTCTCTTCAAAGCCCAGAGTCACAAAGGAAAGGTCTCCTAATCACTCAACGATAGACCAAATCATTAAACCTGGAGACAACCTCAAGGATCTGGGTCCTTCCAAATCTCACCGAGGACGTGTCAACCTCACACATCTTTTCTGTGGCTCAAGAGAAGAGCTCCCAGTCAGTGCACGTGCTGCATCCCATGAGGGCTGAGGTCGAGCTTGGTCATGAAACCACACCAGCCCCTGGCTGAGGAACTAGACAACACCAGCACTGACATCCATGAACCGGAGATCAGCAGGACACAGTGTCAATGAGCAAATAGCACCTTCTGCTGACCTCCTTACTCCTGTGCAGCAAGCACGGGCTTCATAACCCCTCTCAGCTTTTCTCGTAGAGCTGTCCCAGATCTGTGTAACCTATGTGTATGTGTGAGATGGCTTGTGATGGAACAGCAGAAACACCTGATGCAAAATGCTCCACGTGGTGACACTGCATTGTGAGTGGGACTTTTGGAGCAAGCCTTGCTGTCATGCAGGACCTGGCAACGTTAGGCATAGGACTGTTTTCTGATAATGTCCTCTTGAACATGGGAACAGAATAGAGTAACATCCAAGAACACCTATAGAAGCTGCAAGATCTGTGACTTTTGGATGCATACTCCATGGTGCTGTGCTCGCAGGGGGACAGGGGAAGGAAATGCTGGACAATAAGAGAGCTGGAGGGATCTGCCCTGGTACCACACCTCTGACATGTTGCTGAGATACACCAGACTCCCACTCTGTGTTGCATCCCTTCATTAGTGCCATTCTTCCTGCCCATAGGAAATACCAGATTCCACCTCTGGTGCGTCCTCTGAGTCTCACATGCTATATGCCAGGTCTCCATTCCCATTTCTGTGAAAAACAGGCAGGGTGTAACCGTCTGGTTCCCAGTGCTGTCCTTGGGGTCCAGCTGACACCTGGAGGACTCTGCCATGACACAGGGACTCACCCATGCCCACATCAGGCCTAGCGCTGCACATGTTAGGTGTGAGAGTAGGGAGCTGATCGTGTTGATGTGCTGCCTCCTAAAGAAGGGGGAGTTGACAGGGAGCCCATCTCTCTTAGGAGTTTTCTCAGTTGATGGAGAAACACTGCTCTATGTTATGGCTGGGCATGAAATACTTCTCTCATCCTACAGATCTTTGTGAGTATAAAACAGTTTTGCAATGGAGCAGATGTTGGGCTGCTTACATTTTTTTCCAGAGGGGAACTGGGCTGCAAGCACCACAGCCGGAGCATCTTGCAGAGCCCCCAAACTCTTGTTTGCCTGCTTAAGGCTGGGAATTTTGGACTCAGTTTCTTGCACCCAAAGCTGAGAACTCAACCGCAAGGTGAATCGCCTCATTGCAGAGCCCAGGAGAGCATTCCCTTTGGCTTAGAGCAAGGATTTCAGCCATGGATGCTTGTCTTCCAGGTTCTATCACCTGGGTGGCAGTTGGTCATTCAGAGGAGAACGTCTACACGAGAAGGGCTCAAGAAACCCTTCCTGCCACTCAGTGATGATCATGAGGGCCTTGACTGCCCAGCTGGTGGGTACTGGAGCTTTTTCTGCAGACTGTAGTGCACTGTGGCAAGGATACTTTAACTGAAATAGCTAAGTCACTTCACTGCTGAATTCCATCCCCAGAAGTGCAAAGTGCTCCATGGACAGGTTTACCAAGCAAGCAGGGGAAATGAGTCCTTCCTGATCTCTGAGCTGGTGTGGATGGACCATCTCTCATCCCTGAGATAGCTCATTTGGATCATGCATTTTGATTTGAAACTGAGTAGCCTTTCCTGTGTACCTGGGCAGCTGGTACAGCCCTGCAGAAACGTGCAGGCAGCTCAGTGTTTTACAACCAAAAAACGCCTGTGTGTTACTCAAAAGCGTAACTGCCTGCCTGTAGTCTGGATGATAATTTTATTCTTGGAGTGAATATTAAGTAGATAAAGACAGGCCTTTGTTTGCAGGTGGACCATTATCTCCCCTGATCTGAAACAAAGGGCATCTTCTCTCCTGGCAGGCTTGGAGCGCTGCCTGGCTCATGCAGAGCTGGCTGTGATGGATGCCAAGCCATGCAAGATGCTGGGCCTCCAGGCAGGTGTTTTGCAGTTGACGGAACACTCTGTCAATAGCCAGGAGGACAGTACAATTGTGGTTTGTCCTCAACTATAGACACAGTGGCTCCTAAATGCCTCCTCTCTCTGTGTTATCTTCACAGGTCACCTTGGTATTCAGATGGTCTGCGACAGAGGAAGCATGAAGGGAGGAGGCTAAGTGCCAGTGGCGGAAGTCACACTCTGAAGGTGATCTGCTGTGACCCAAAAGCTTTCTGACATTTTTTGCCTTGGTTTTGATACAGTGGAAGAAAGTCTTCTTCTCCACACAGTGTCTGTAAAGTCCCAGCAAGTTCCTTCCCTCCAGAATGTAGAGTTTCCAGCTCCAGGAGGTTTCTTACCTGCTTCCCATGTGGAAGTGGCTGCAGGTTCAGCCCGGGGGTGGGTTTGGCTCTGGTGCTGCAACCACACACAATAACTAGGTGACTGGGTTCAGGCCCAATTGCAGACCCATGTAATAGCCTCTCTCAATGAGATTTGCTCTGACTAATTCTCTGAAGTTGCTTGGAAACATAGTGATAGAAGCTGTGATTTGCGTGCACTGCTGCCTGCTTAGTTGTATCAGTGGTGGGTGTAATTATTACAGTTCCTGTAATAAATACCAAGGTGTCAGCATCTCTTAAATAACTCATTGTTCACATGATCATCTCTGCTGCTGATAAACCTGTTATATCCTGCCTTTAGCCATCTGTTTTGGAGGCAGGTTACTGTGATGAGATTCTGGAATTAGTGATGATTGGCAAACGATGTAGGGTCTATTCATTCTGCTTTCATGGCAGGTTGTGCTCTGAAGTGGCTTAGGTCTTACGAGATAGCATCTTACTTCAGCAATGGACAGGCTGTGCTTCTGCTTTCCAACCCCCTAACTGAAGACTAAATTTTGCCTGCTTAGCACTTGGACCTGAGGATTTTCATGGGGTGTGGGGGGAGGTGTGTGTGGGGGGAGGGGTGTGTGTGCGCTCCTCTGCACTTTGCATGTGCAGAGCTGTAAGATTACCTTCCACCTTTAGCTCACTCAGTGAGAAAGTGATAAAGGCAGCAATTAAACATAAAAATTCAATATGTATAATGACAAGAGAGACAAGACTTCAATTAGAATAAATTAGAAGGTTCAGAATGCATAAAAACAAGAAGAGAAAGTAAATGAAAACACCAAAAGGAATATTTTAAAAGTGAAGTGACAAAGTCTGCATCCAAGCAAGTTGCAGTACCACCTGCAAAATGTGTGGGAAGCCTTGTCAGTGCTGGGTGCCTCCTGCAGAGCAATATGCCAGCACTAGTTTGGCCATTGCAAGCAGTGAGTACATACATCCAGATTCCAGTGTTGGTCCTGGCTTGGGATCTCTTTCCACTGCTCTCGCAAATGTTTCGGTTAATGCAAAGCTCTAGTTAACCTGAATCATTGCTGATTTGCACCATCCTGACCGCAGTGTGTACAACTGCTCCTGCCTTGCAAGTTTACTGCATTCTGTTTCAGTGGCATCTTAGGGCTAATTCAAACCTTTACATCGGTCCCCTGGGTTGCAGGGTCTATTCTAACTTTCCTCTTCTCTACAGAAGACTGTGACAGACTTTGGGCACTTTAGTTGGATGTAGGAGTTGAACATGGGTGCTGTCCTGCAGCAGAGGCAGGGCAAGCTGTAACCTGGCGTATGAGTTGTCCTCACTTTTGAAGAGAGAGTGAATCTTTAGTAACTCCAGTCATGCAGGATGTGTTAAATTTCTAGCATATGACCACAATAATGTAGCCCTATTCTGCACGTTACTATCAGATTTGTGTGTCTTTGTGACCCATCATACACATTCATGATAATTTTGTTAGCTATTACTCCTGTCTCACCCTTTTTTCTTTTAAAAAAGAAGGGGGAAGTATTAATGTCATGTCCTCATCTTACTGCTCATGGTCATCCCTATAAAACTCTATTCTTGCACTCTTCTCCTTTCCAAGCGTGGATGTTTTGGCTTGCTACTTGTGGAAATCCAGAACTGCTGTTGGTTTGAGTCTCTGTTTGCTGTGTCTGAGAAGCTGAACTGCCCCAACTTGGCAATCCCTCCTTTTGGCACTTCGTGCCTTCTCAGCAAGCAGTTTGAATACATAACACACACTGACTTCTTGGGTTCCTCCCAGATAATTCCCTCTGACAGCAGGAGTGCCTCTCTGCATTGCAGAGTGCTACACACTGTTTAAAGGCAACAGTGCTCCTTGGAGCACTACAATCATGTTGTGAATTTGCTTCTAGCTGCCTCTGGAACTGGTGGCCGTCTTCTGCAAACTACCAAAAAGCTGTCCGATGTAATTGCTCCACTGTATCAATTATGCTGACCACCAAAGGGGCTTTTCTGATCCGTCTCTGGTGGCAGAAACACATCGCTGATTTGGTCAGTGCACAGCAGCAAGAGCCTCTTGCAAAGGGGAGGGAACAAATATCCGCACCTCTCGTGCTTCTGCAGCAACATGCTATAGTCTCATTTAGAAAGAAGATCCTTGTGTCAGTCTGTTGGCAGGGGAATCCTGTCATATAGGACATGCATTAGGGTTTTGTCAGTGTTACTTACAAAACACATCCACTCAAAGCCGTGTGAATGGCTGCATGTGAGTAAAAGGATCACACTGCTGGTGAAGGAGCGACCTGCAGTATCACTGCTTATTGTTTCCTTGCTTAGGTCCCAGTCAAGACCTTTCCTTAATGCAAGCATTTTCTGTCTTCACCAAGCATGTAAATTGCTTGTTTACAAAGTTAATTTATTCAGGTACTATAACTGGCACCACGTGCCACTTTTGGCATCCAAAGCAGGTTACCAGTTTCCTACTCCTTTCATTTGCCAAAGCCAGAGCTGAACACTGTTCTCCCACATCCCATCTTAACAAACCAGAACCCTGGCTTGCTTTGTGTAAGATCTGTCTGCAGTCTCTCTCCCCATTCCCATCCCTTCCTCTGCAGCATCTCCCACTGTACCACCTCAGTCCTACCTCCATGAGCTTTTCAGCCTGACCCAGAAGTGCCAGCTAGCACGCTGCTTGTTGGAGATGCCCTTGCACAGCCTACGTGTGATGCACAGCCCACGTGCTTCACACCACAGTAAGTTGCCTGCGGCTGCATTAGCAAACAGTATGCGTGTCTGCTAGCAAGAATAACAGTAGCACATCGGTAGATACAGCAGTATTTAGGGATGGTGTTACGTAAATAACACCTGAGGACTTGACACCCACTCTGTGGACATTTTGGGGACAGGGGTGGTTATTGTGGATCAGCTCTAGTTGTGTCCTGTGATGCCTATTTGCAGCTGCAGTATCCCAGGTGTGCTCCAGAAGTGCATCTTTGTCCAAAGAGAATGCATTTCATGAACTTCAGTGTGAATGAAAGCACAGAAACTGCAAATGCATCTGTTGCAAAGCACACCCCTGAGCTAGACTGAAACGGTATTGTAGAAGCTCCTGTGTTGCCTGGCTATGGAGGGGGTCGAACACTGTTGCTCCTACGACAAGCAGTGTCTGGGGTCCTTTGCTGCACACCATTTGGGGAGAGCTCACAGATCACTAGCAGTAGCAGTATCACAGTTTGGGAATTTTATTTAAAAGAACTTTATGGTCTGCTAAGATACTGAGCACTGAACAGCTAAGAATGGAGGGGGGGAGAAATACACAGTATCAGTAGAATATTTTTAGCCATTTCATGTAGACAGCTTTTCAAGAATAATTATGCACAAACGAATCCTCATCTAAAGGATTTCTGTGAGCAACTTTTATTAAAGCTCTGGAATAAAAGTAAATAAAAATAATTGCTAATAAAAATTGCATGTGGCACAAAATATCACATTATGAGGACAAATCACATTAAAGAAAATATAACAAAAAGCTTTTTCATTCTATTTCATTATGTAATGAAAAGCTTTTTCCATATGAAAAGCTTTTAGAAAAGAGCTGTAAGTCTCAAATCTTAAAACCGAAAGACATTGCAGCAACAGACAGAAGGAACCTGCCCATTTAGCTCATTAAGGAGAATTTAAAAAGTATCCTTATCAAAATCTGTAAATGATTAAATATTGAGATGCTACAGATAAGAAAAAAAATCCTGAATCTAAAGCTACACAAACTCAGACAATATGTAAGACAGAGACTTTAGCAGTGACAGGGTTTAATCACTGGAACAATTTGCTGTGCATTACAGAGGGCTTTCTATAGCTTAAAATCTGGAAGATGTGCAGTATCTGCACCAGAAACAATGTTCATCACAGGACTCGCAGGTGGAGGTTTCTGGCCTGGTGCTGCAGTATTTGGACATTCGAAGTGGTGCTTTCTGAATATAATATCTGTGAAACCTACAAACAAAACTCTTACCATTACAACCTTAGTAACAATTAATTGCTGTCTTTCTCTGATGACTTCCTTGTCACTAGCTGTGACGATCTTCACTAACCCAGTCACCCTTCCAGGATGTGTTAAGCATTCCTTCATTATGGGAACCCTTTGGAAATGTAACATTGAAGAGCTAAGTGGATGTGGGGACTTGGGCACCTAACCACCATTTTAGGCAGCATGGTTCCAAATGTTATTCTGAAGAGTCCTCTTCTACTCCCATGGGTGCGTAGCCTCCATGGGCATCTAAATCCTTACTCATTAATTCCTTCTCTGGGTGTGGGCAAGGCAATGACCCACAGGATGAGCTTTGTCCAGTGCGAGAGTTAATACCCACTGGTGTGAAGCACATCAGCAGGGCTGTCGAACCCTGAAACGGTTCTGAAAGACTGATACAGCAGCCATGAAAGCCAGCCCCCATTCTGCCCACTGGCAGAGGCTTGTCCTGCTCTCTACGTAGCCCCTTCAAAAGCATAAATGTTCACAAAGAGATTGAAACTATAATCCATGCGAATAAACAGTCAAATCCCATTTCATTACATCAGATAGAAATCTTGCCAAAATCTCTTCCTTCTAGTAGCCACTTGCTTATTGCCATACTAACTTGTGGCCTTCTCTGAGAAGCCAGCAAGAAATCTATGACTCTTCATTAGTTTTGGTCCAGATTTTATCACTAACTGTTAATGAAATCATCCTTTGGCAGAGTTGGTTGAACAGCTGACCTCTGCTCCCAGTCTAAGT